TGCTTCAGTTTTCTTTCAGTTCCCTTCTTTGGAAGTTTGCAATCAACACGATAATGTCCCTTCTTTCCACAATTCCAACACTCAACATCACTGAGATCTGTGGAATTCCTGAAATTTTGAGACTGTGTCCTTCCATTCCTTGACTTGGATCTGCCTCTATTTCTAATACTGTTACCCTTCTTCTTGTTTGAACCCTTGCTTCTACTTTCAACATTCAACGCCGAACCACTGATGGAAACCCCTACTGTTTGCTTTCTGATTTCTTCAGTCAGAATTATGCTCACAACTTCATTAAACTTCAACTTGGTCTTCCCTATAGAGCTACTGATCACTGTAACTGTGCCACTCCAACTCTCGGGTAACTACCCTAGAATTAGCAGTGCTCGGACCTCGTCTTTGAAGTCGATATCAACAGACTCTAATTGCCCAACTATCTCGTTGAACACATTTAGATGTTCGTTAAACTTACCACCTTCGACTATCTTCATGTTGAACAACTTCTAGATCAAGTGCACCTTGTTCGCTGCAGAAGGCTATTCATACATACTAAAAAGGGCTGCCATGAGAGACATTGTCGTCTTCTCGTTCTTGATGTTGAAGGCGACTGACTTTGACAACATCAATCTAATGGTGCCAAGAGCCTTCCTATCAAATAATTCCCAATCTGCATCCTTTGTATTCTCTGGCTTCTCTCCCAAAGGTTGATACAGATTTTTCTGAAATAAGAGGTCTTCTATTTGCATCTTCCAGAAACCGAAGTTTGTGCCATCGAACTTCTCGATCATGGATGTGGATGTCTTATCTTTTGATGTCATTACTCCCACTCGAATAGACAAATCTGATCGAAAGACTTTCGGAATTTCGTCAAACACCTTTTGTGCCCTAGGTTCTCAACCAAAGGCTCTGACACTAATTGTTAGAGTTGCACTGCATAATCAACCGAATTTAATTCTAGTTGTTGTGGCGGAAACGCAAAATAACAACGCACGCTGTTCGAGGAATAATCAAACAATCATAAAGAAAAATCACAAACAAAAACACAAGATATACATGGTTCACCCAAATCTTAGGGCTACGTCTATGGAGCACACCGAACAAATTCACTATGACAAAGATGAAGAATTACACAGAGAATTTTCTCTCAATCGCTCTCTCTTGTGTTGGTACAAATTAATCATACAGCATGTATGATTTATCTATAATTTCAGCACAACCTAAAAAAAACTGATTAGGGTTAATATATATAGCCCCATACAATGGAACCCAACTTGTCCAACAAGAATTGCCTTTTGTAGAGTCCAAAACCAACAAGAAAAATAAATCACGTAAGTTTCCAGAAATGTGGAACCGGTACCAGGAATTGGTTACCAGTTCCCAATGTCCAGAGACGAAACTTTTAATTCTGCAACCGGTTCCAGAATTGGCTACCGGTTCCTACTGGACAGTGACTGATCAACGTTTCCTTTATTTTGGCTATCATCAGTGGAAGTGGTACCCAATCTCTGAACCGGTTCCCACACGTAAGTAGCCAAAAATTATTAATATCTTTAATTTCCCAAAATCTTCACGTTATTGACACGTGATCAGACTCCACCACAAAAAAACATAACAACGGGTAGCTACTATAACACACGCAGCGAGAGCACACTTCTAAAGATTTGTGTTGGAACACCAATCCTTCTTTGTATAAGATTTCCTCCTAGCCAGGGTGTCTCTAATCATTAATGTAGCAACTTCCAATTATGAGGAGGTAGCAGGTTTACAGACAAGTAAGGCAGATTGTCGCCGACGACAGCCATTGGAAAGGAAAATGAAATCCTAATCAAACGTTGGTACGGGTGCGGTTGGTTCAGTTTTAGGATTCCGGCCGAGATCCTATGACATAGGAAAGTTCGCAAAGAACTAATTAGGAAAGTAGGGCAGATTCTGTTCGCAATATCCTTCGGCCCTGAATCGCTGCTTCAACCACTCGCCGGCAGTACTGCTTCAATTCATGATTCTCAACCTTCTGAATTTACCAAATCTTCACTAATGTGATGTGGGTTGGGTTTAATATTTGGGTTACAAGATGAGTGTAAGCGCTGGTTTCACGCCATGGGCGTCTCTCTCCGACAAGCTTCAGCTTATGGAGCCGATGCCGCCGGTGGACGAGAAGAGTAAGAAGCAAGACGAAGAGAATTTGTTGCATATTCATGGTCATTCAACAAATTCACGGCCAAATGGCCCAGACACAGGTATACAACCATGGTTGAGAATTATGCCACAATTGCAAACATTCTACCAGTTAGATAACTAGGATATTTCAGTCATTAATGCTCTTATGAGCTTCTACTCGAGGATTGGACGGATGGAAGAAGCACATTCATTCTAACTAGGATCAAAAAAAATACGCACAACTTGTAAATAGATAAGAATAAAAATGAATAGATAATTGATAATGATAAGGATAAAATTGGTTTTTTTACTATATTTTACATCCATAATGTCTAAAGGTGCGGAAGTGAGTTCTAAAAGTAACCCTGGACGGAGCCAGTATGTCTAGGGAGCTCGTGCCCCCGTTTACTATATTACATATATTAAATTTTTCTCCTTTCTCATCTTTTTACGGAGATCTAAGTTTTATATCTTCTTCAGTTGTCTCTCTACCCCTCCTCTTCAAATTCTATATTAAATCACTTATGCATAAATTTTGATTATTCTACAGAATGGGTAATTAGATAAAGAAGTACTTAATTTAAAGTGGGTATAATTTTGTTTAAATGTTTGATGCAAGTAATCATACTTTAAATTCACTGTCACTAGATACCTTCAACTGCATAAAAAATAATTTGATAGTGACAATTCTGGTCTTTTTTTTTTTTTTTTTTCCTTTGATATGACATGACCTTAATTTATCTGTGCGCTTTTGGTGAATGTTGACTTGTAATTTTGTTCACGTAATTTTCTCCAATTTGTCCGGTATCTAATAATTTCTGGTGAAGAGGTTCACCGATACACATTATCAAATTGAAATTCTCAAAAAAGTGGTCAAAGTCAAAGAGGAACCCACAAAGTCTCAACATATCAAAACATCACAGACCAATGCAAACACTGATGCTCTTGCAGCGGTTGGATCTGAAACGCTTGATCCACAGTTGGCCAAGTTTGTTCCAAGTAAATATGGTTGTATTGAACATAAAAAGTGTGTTTCTCCCTATTTCTCTCCCCCACTTATTAATGTCCTCCTTTGATTGTTCATAAGTTACCTTCCTTTCCACTTTTTTCTCCATCTGCTTTAGGAAGCAGGCTTGAATGGTCTTAGAGGATTTGGAAGAGAAATGGACTCTCTGTATTTAAAAATGTTTGGTAAAAACAAGTTTGAGAAATATAATGATTTTTTTTTTTTTTTTTTGAATGAATGAATGAAAATTAGATAGATTAACTACTCTTATTATAAGTATATAAATCAGGAAAAAAAATAAATAAATAAATAAATAACTAAAGCACCTTCTAAAGGCAAAACAGCTCCGGTGTTGACCAATAAAATAACGACACGTCCACTACAAGCCAGCATGATACTTGAGCTAAAAGAGTGAAATGTCAGCACTGTGGGAGATTTGACCAGGCCTAGCCTACTATAAACATATTTATTGCCTGGCCCAACTAATTTGGTCCCAAAAAGTCAATTTATCACATTGGCCCAGTGATGGTCTAGTTGTAGGGATTTCAGTCGCCAGGTCCCATTCCAGAAAGTAATTGGCCCACAAGGCCTATCTCATGGAAATAACAAAAAAGAAAAGAAAAGAGAAAAAAAATAGATCCAATTTTGGCAGTACAATTCCAAAGTATAAATAAGTGTTCACTCATTGAAAAAGTAAATATAATATTTTTTATAATATTATTAATTTAATTTTGTTACATTAAACCTATAAAAAATAAAGTATTATATCACTGTAGATCCATTACAAATAAATTTAATAATTTATTCGTGAATTCACATAAAGTATTGAGATGCATCATTTTTTTGTTCCATTGTATTATTATTCAACTTAATGAAAACCTCTATATATATTAACAAATAATTAGGAGTGACAATTCGTGTTCGTGGGTCATAATCGTGTCATGTCGTTGTAATGTATTATATTAAACAGGTAAATTTAAACCCAATTCAATTAATAATCGTGTCAAAAATTCTAAATACTAACCCAACTCATTTAATAAAAAATAAAAAATATTCAAGTTTCAACCGCTGCAAAAAGAATAGGCAGGACTTTACGTGGGATGTAATACTATTTTATCATTTTTTTTTTTTTCGTATGATACAAATGGTACTACACACCAAAAGCTCTTAGATGTTCTTATACAATTTCGTCCATTTCCTTTTCATGTTTTTTTTTTTTAATTTCATACTGTTTCATTAAGCACAAATATCTTGTCACAAAAAAAAAAAAAAAAAAAAAAAAAAAAAAAAGGTCACATCCATTAATTTAACTCATTAAAGACACCAATTACCCCTCCTGTCAAATCAAATGTCACTTTGAAGTTTGAGTGTGAAATTTGTCTATGACTCAATAAAATTAGCCCAAACAAATAAAAATAAATGTTTATTTACATGAGAAGTCCAAATAATACAAAAAAAGACTTTGCATGGAAAGAGGTCCGAAATTAGGGTAGGATCATATTGTCACAAATCACATTCATAGAAAAAGGACCATGACAAGTTGCCAACATATCAATCGGTACAGTGTTATTCCATTCTAGCATGCTAAAGTAACATGCTCTGACCATGACAAGTTGCCAACATATCAACCGGTACAGTGTTATTCCATTCTAGGATGCTAAAGTAACATGCTCTTTTGTGTGTGTGTGTGTGTGTGTGTGTGTGTGTAATATAAGTGAGATTCGAGGACAACATCACCATTAAGCTATTATTAATATGGGTACCATCTTGGTAATATATATTTTTTTTTTTTGGCAACAACTTTAACGAAAACAGAAACTAGAAATAGAACTCCATACACTCAAGTAGCAACATCCTCCTCCAAAAACTTAAGGACTGATGAAGGCATGGACTGAAGCACCAAGTCCGTTTTCATCTCAACACACGATAAACATGCCAATGTATGAGCGACCTGATTACTAAACCGTCGCACATGCGTAATTGAGAAAGTAGGAAAATCCTGAAGCTCTTTTTGCATAACAGACACCAAAGAAGCAAACTCACTCTCTCCAGATAGAACACCCGTTAAGGCTTCCACCACCACTTTAGCATCCAACTCAAAACAGACATCCTGAAATTTAAACACTTTAGTCCAGTAAATAGCACGGCGGAAAGCGTAAGCTTGAGGTTCAAGCACAGAAAAAGAAGAAGGCGACTTAAAAATCACAACTTTCACAACAAAACCATTTGAATTCCGAAACACCGCCCCTCCACCCCCTAACCGAGAAGACTTTGAAAAACTTGCATCCACATTACATTTAATCTCGTTATGCAACGGACGAGTCCAATGGTTATAGGACACAATAGAATGCAAAGGAGAAACCAGCGGCTTGCATTTCTGCTGCACATTTAGAAATTGCCAAAAACGGTCCATAATTAAATTAGCCACCATCAAAGGATCCCACACATCCTTCTCAAAAATCATTTTATTTATAGCTTTCCAAATCATCCACACATAAAAGGATGCTAACCCAATCATAACTCCTTTATTTTCCATTGAAGGCAAAACATTAATTGAAATTTTATCCCACCATTCAACAAAAGATAAAGGAGAATATTGAGAAAAATCCCAACGAAGAGGAGTCAGCTTCCATACCTGAACCGAGTGAGGATAGCGGAAAAAAATAAGATTAATATCCTCTACCTCCAATCCACACCTTGGACACACCAGATCTTGCAAGCAATCTCGGTGAACCAACGCATACCCTGTTGGGATAGCACCATAACAACATTTCCAAATAAAATGTTTAATTTTAGAAAGTAAAGAAAAGCTCCATAACCTACTCCAAAACTGACCCGACACTTACCCGTGAACTATCCATCATTCTCCCACTACGTTGAGTCGGGTTATAAAGAGACACAGCTAACTGGTAGGCGGATTTAACACTGAACCTTTTTTTTTTTTTTTACCTGAAGCATCAGTTTCCCAAATTTGAGCATCATCTAACGGCCCATGACTTAAAGAAATCTTTGAAATACGATGAATTTTCGTTGAAGAAAATAATCGTCTCAACACATCCATACCCCATTCTTTGCAATTACCATCAATAATCTCTTCCACCCAAGTAAAACCCAACGCAGCCACCCTCGGCCCCAATGACATTGGAAGCCCAGGAATCTATTTATCTCTCCAAATGTGGACAGATTTCCCATTACCCACAATCCAACGGAAGTCGTGTCTCAGTAACTCTTGCGACGAGCAAATACTAGACCAAGCTCATGACAGATTTGAACCAAGGTTCACATCAACAAATGAACACAATGGGAAATATCTCGCTTTAAATAACTAATAGACCACACCCTGCTTAGAAATTTGGAATTTCTAAGCATGTTTAGCCAACATAGCCAAATTAAATGCTTCAATGTCACGAAATTACAAACCACCATCCTGCTTACTTTGACGCAATCCCACGAAACCCAATGAATGGATTCATATTTACTAGATTTTCGCCACCAGAAGGAATGTATCTGCTTTAATAAAGCAAGACACAAAGTCTGAGGTAACCGGAAGGCAGACATAATATACGTTGAAAGAGCATTCAACACTGCCTTTATTAAAACTTCCTTAACACCATCCGACAGCGTATGTTGCCTCCAAGACGCTAAACGATCCTGCATGTGTTAAAGTAAAATTTTGAACACATCGTATTTGGAACGACCAATTATCGCTGGCATCCCGAGATACTTTGTCTAAAACCCGTCCTCAAACAAACCCAAAATCTGACTCAAAGCATGCCTTAAATGCAATGAAGCATTTTTATAGGAAAAAATGCCAGATTTTTCAAAATTCATCTTTTGTCCTGAAGCCATCTTATAAGAAGAAAGAATACACTTGAGAGAGCCAATCTCTGCTTCAGACACCTGGCAAAAGACAATAAATTCATCTGCAAAGAACATGTGAAATATAGATGGAGCACCTCGACAAATCCTCACCCTAGAGAGAATCTTTGCCTATTCGGCTCGCTAGAAGGCCAAAGACAACGCTTCCACACAAAGAATGAAAAGATACGGCGATAAAAGGGTCACCTTGGCGCAACCCACGCGATAGATAGAAGAAACCCACTGAATTGCCATTTATCACCAGTGAATATGAGACTGTTGAAAGACATGAAGATGCCATTTTAATCTAATGACCATTCTGACTCAACTTATGCATCATACTAAATAAGAATTCACATTCTATACGATCATAAATTTTACTCATATCCAATTTGAGCGTCAAAAAAGTTTTTCTTCCTTTTTTTTTATTCTCTTAATCTGTTATGCTAATATTCTGTTAATATCTATTTGTGATTTGGGACACCACACGTATAAGATTAATATTTATTTGTGAATTTATATATATATAGAGAGAGCTGAATTTATATATGTTACATACTAACTTTTTGGCTTCTGAACTTTGGCACTTCTTACCTGATCTTGTTGGCTCTTGAACTTTGGCATTTCTCACCTGATCTTTTTGGCCTTATTACATGTAAAACCAACTTTTGGCTCCCAAAAGGCGTGTACTCTGACATTACTTTAATACCCCCTTATATTACTTTGGGCACACATTCTCTCGCTCTCTCTGTAACTCTTACCTTTCTCTCTCTAAAACCACAGCAAGCTATCCAAAACCCATGCTTATATATATATATATATATATATATATATATATATATTTCCAAGCCAAGCAACACTCAATCCGGCCAATAGGATGGTCACGTGAGACAAGACAATATATTTAAGGGTAAAATGCATTAAACCCCCTTAAACTATCAACAAAAAACACAAAACCCCCCTAAACTAAATAATGCCCCCTAAACTAGGTAAAAAGTATAATTTATGGACAAAATTAGAACTTCCAGTTATTAGGATCACCGAAAATGTTAGATTACCATATTGTCCTTTAATAAAATGACATTGTTTGATTGTTTGAGTAAATGTTGTTGCTGATGTGACAAGTGCAATCTCAACAGCCAATAGTATTGCACCACTACATCACCTTATCACAATTTCACTAGTTCTTAGACCAAACACCTCCTTATTTTAGCGCTGGTCACCACCTCCGCCTCCTACCCCAAACAACTCAGATCACCACCTCCATCGGCCATGGCTACCACTTCCTCTCTTTTTTCTTTTCACTTGTTGAAACACTAGCCCTAGTTTATTCCATTGCAACATAGCAACTTTAAGGTCGAAATCTACTCCTCTAATCCTGACTCTCATCCACCTACAGTGCAAAGCGACCTGGGCTCTCTGGCAACATTACGTATAGGGGTGTGTGTGTGTGTGTGTATACATATTTGGAGGTGAGAATATTATCCCATGAACTCCATTAAATCCGGTGAGAAAACACTAAACACCACCCAAAATTTTGGCCACCAATCACCACCGGTGCTTATTCCGTTGGTTTTCAGCCATTAAATCCGGCCATCAAACACACCCAAAAAAAAAAAAAAAAAAAAAAAAAAACATATATTTAAGAATCAAAATTAAAGTATGGAGACAGATCAAAAGAATATTTAATTGTGAGTACTTTAGTTGTTTGGGGAGAAGATTTTGGATGTGGAGTCCATGGAGCAAGCGAGTGAGACATATACTATTCTCTTCCCACCACCATCTCTGCCGCCATCTCGCCCCACCACCAGCATCTCTGCCGCCATCTCGCCCCAACACCACCATCTTTAGCTTTGTTCTAATTTGTAATGGGTTCCAATAACGACTCTGCCAGATTACCAACTGGAGCAAGAGAGAGAAATAGACGATGACGATGGTTGGATTTCACGACCAAGAGAGAGAAGATTGGGTTCCAGTAACCAAATCACATAAGTGGTTTTGTAACACATGGCTTTCTGCATATGACTTTGATTTGTGATTGGGTTTGCAAAAGTCTAGTCTGTGATTGTTGACGGGGTTGCGAAGAATGAGATCAGAGAGATGCAATTTGGTAGAGATGAAAGCCAATGAGAGTTAGGATTAGTTAACAAAATTGAGGTTTAATTGATTTAATTCTAAAATTTTAATAAGGGCAATATTGTCATTTTTAAATTACAATGCATGTTTCACTGAAAAAATCAATTTGAATAGTGATGAACAGTGACATAGTGTGTTTTTTGCCAAAAAATAAAATAGTTTAGGAAATTTATTATAAAAATGGAAGTTTAGAGGAGTTTTTTTTGGGGAGAAAGAGTAAAGATAAGAGGGTTTATTACACTTTATCCTATATTTAATCCAACCTTGCACTCTTAACTTTTGCATGGAAAATTGTCCAACCTTTTATAGCCACGTCACCAAATGGAGACTCTCATTGTCACCGACAAGGAGGAATCCGCAAAGTCCCAACCTATCAAATCATTCCATAATTACTACGCTCTCCACGCGAAACTGAATATGTGTGTATCCACGGAACAACACTTTTTATTTACCAACAATATATATTTGAATAGTCGGTAAATGATGATTGAGGATCCCACACATAGACGTGCGTGTACCTCGCCCCTCTCTCTCTCTCAAAATGTGAAAGTGTGTGTCCCTAGTATGGCTGCTCGACAAATAAGACGTGAGCTTGATCCATTGAATTGTTACACTAATGAATAGTTAGAAATTAAAAAAATTTTGAATCCATAATTTATAAATTTGATTGGATTCAAATATATAAATCGAATGAAATCTATGGTATTAATTAATTAAATTAATTAATAATAATTTAATAGATTATAAGAATGTATTAATTAATAATTATTTAAATATTTAAATTAATGACGATAAATTAAAATTTTATCGATTAGATTATGGTTAAAAAAAATAAATAATATTAAATTATTTAGATAAAATTTTAATTCGCGAATTTAATTCGATCTGAGATTTGAATGATTCGTAGGATAACAAATCGTTGATGGATTTAAAAAATCCAATTGGTTTGGAACGATTGAATTAAGATTGATATTTAAACTAATCAATAGCCACTCCATACTCAAGGGTATTAATGTCTTGAATTTAATGAACATAAGTCACATCACAACATTAACCTGTTCCAATGCGTATATAAATATATATAAATTTTTATCTTCTACATCTACATACTATATTTATTGTTGGGTCTGTGGATATTCAACAATTATCACTTATCAATTATTTGTAACATAAAAATTGCTAGAAATCCATTTTTGGACAAGCAACCCGGAAATATGAAGCTGCAATACATCCATATGCATTGTTATAAAAGTGTAAAACTTTTTTCTAATTTCTAAATATATTTTTATTTATTTATATTATAAAAAAAAAAACATTTTCATTAAAAGAGTTGATTGTCGTTCTAATTTTATATAGTGCTATTATGAAGAAGCTTTCAGAGTAATATTACTTTTATATATATCAGAAAATAAGACAAAATATAATACCGATATTTCAAACAAGGTAGGTGAAGGTAGCAATGATAAATTCTAATAAAACACTTCGCACGGCTAAATAAAATCATAAATAAAATAATGTCTAGCTTAATATGTGAAGAAAAAAAAAAAAAAAAAATCCTCTCTATTACTCCGTCACTGGATTGGTTCAGTGATTGATAAAAAAACTGATTAGACACTTTAATTAAATTCGTATTTATCAAGTGGTCTTGATGCATTGCCACAAATATCTTGCTTTGTGAAAAGTAACAAAATGATAATATTAATTCCCCTAGCAAAATAAAAACATTATATATATATATTCACACACACACACACTTAATGTCAACTCTTTTAATGAAAATGTTTGCTCTTTGTAGCTGCTTTATATATATATATATATATATATATATATAAAGAGTTGATATTAAATGTATTATTTTTTTTTTTGCATAAATTGAACTTTACATCTTTTTGTTTAAAACCTAAAAACTAAAAAATTCAAATCAAAGAGTTATAATCCCCCCAGTGTTAGTGCAAAAGATTATAGGAGTGATTTAGAAGCGAAATTTGACTATAACCAAACTCAAATTATGTCAGTGGATCGTACATGACGTTTCAATAATTACAAGCAAATCATTATGCTAAATACTAACAAACGGATTGTTAAGTAACTTTATTATATAGGACAAGTTTTTACTAAACTGTAACTCACATAAATATTTACTTTATTTTTTAAAGGCCTAATTCGTGTTTGCTTGAATTTTAATTAAAAAAAAAATTTATTGGTTGAATTTTTATTAAATCTTGTTTATTTTGAACATCACATGATAGGGAAATAAATTTTGTTAATGTCATTTTGGAAAGTATTGGAGTATTTATGTATTGCGAGTATCTGTGATTATTTGCAATAAATTGCGTGTATCGTCTTTAAATATTATTATTATTGTTATTATTAATTTTTAATTCTTGAATACTATAAAAATAATAATAAAATACTTAACTCCTGCATCTCTTATATTGAAGGAAAAACAACGGCATTTGAATAACCTTAATCCCAACGAAATCAGTTAGGCTATAATATGGCTATCGTCTTAGTAATAATAGGCTGTTAGTGAATTCATTAGACATAACTGCAAGTGCATGTCCCTTGTGGGCCCATATATATATATATATATATATATATTGGATTACTTTTTCGCCTGGATAACCATTCATAAAGGCCGAAATGGTACCACGCATATATATATATATACATGCAATGTACACACACGCCCCTTATAATACTCAACTTGAGTTATGTGCTCTTCAAGTTTCAACCCTGCAAAAAGATTTGGAAGGACAAAGATTGTGTGTTTGGGAGACAAATCTCACAATACACTTTATGTGGAATGTAATACCTTTTGTCCTTTTTCTTTTCATATAATACAAAATGGTATTACATACCAAAAACTCTTGCTTTTTTGATACTATTTTGTCATTTTCCTTTTAATATTTTTTAAATAAAAACTTTTTATTTGGGTTCATACGAACAATTCATTTTCTATAGTGTTTGTATTATTTTATAAACTTTTATCTTTTATTGAAATTTGTCAATCTGATAAAAAACTAAACAAAAAATATAATATAACATGATACCAAAAGCCTGTCAGTTAAAAGTGTGAGTGTGAATAAATTGAATAGATAGATATAACCACTATCACTCTATTCGATGACTTACAATTTATGTTGGAGAATCATAAACTCAACCATCATCAATGCTCGTATATAAAATAAGTGGTCGGTCAACTTAAAAAGGTAGTAAAAAGAAAAAATGGCACATAAATTTTATTAATTCATATTAAAATGAAATCAATGCATATCATATCATACAGTCGAAATCATTATAAACCTCAATCTGGTCGATATGAAGGACTATAACATATATCTCCCACAATGAAAATGAAATTTCTAGTTCCCTCGGAACAAATGGGTACAAAATTTTTTATTTTTCAATAATTAAAAATGAATTTAAATACTAAATTTTCATATTAGGTGACAAGTGTAACTTGGAAGACTTGTTTAGACAAGAGCACAATACACACCCCAATATCCAATATAAGATACTACTATTGATTGTAGTATGACCAACTGTTAAAATATATATATATATATATATGTAATTTTTGCAGTAGTTAATTCCAAAAAACTTAGTAGTATTTATTACCCAACTAAAGCAAAAGAACATCTATTTAAAGAAGTATAAAATGGAATAGTAACAACAACTATATAATGTTATAGTAGTAGTAAGGCAGCACGTCAGAATACATAAATCCAATTAAAATAAAAAAGAGTAATTTATTAAGAACTCTTCTAGAATTTGTCATAATTACAGGCGGTACCTTTTCTATTTCGGAAATTACACGAACCTCCCTTACTTTTAAAAATATCTTACACGGACCTCCCTACTGACCATCAAATGCACTAACGGACACGTCAAATTTACTGATATGCCCTCAATTTTGTATAATAAATGACTAAAATACCCATATATATATATATATATATACATAAATGCTCGCCGTCGCCGTGAAATCTTCCATTATGGAGATAGTAGAACTATGGTATATAATCTAACAGAGTTAGTCAATTTTCTTTATTTGTTCCTAGAATTGTACAATTTAATCCAACAAAATCTTTTGAGAACTCTGTCTTCACATAAGCTCTGAAGGAGAATCAGAAATTGCTTCTTGTTCAAAAGCATTTTTTCATGAAACAACATCAATTTGGAACATGCACGGTCAGCTGGAGGCTTCAAGGTCACAGATCGTCGCCGTCGCCGGCTCACAGCCTCATCGTCTCGTAGATCCTCGCCATCGCTGTCGCCGGCTCACAGCGTCATCGTCTTGCAGATCCTCGCCATCGCAGATCCTCACCCTCTCAAAAAAGAACGACTACTACGACAAGTCAAGCATGGTTGGTTTCATAAATGGTGACGTTTCAGCACCAACTGAAAGGATTACAGTACCAGATGATGATAATGATAGCTCCATGGACGGCATGAAGGAGATGGAGAACCCAGATTACAGGGAATGGAAAAAATTGGACTAGTTGTTACAAAGATGGATCGCAGGGACAATTGATGAACAACATCTTGTACTGATTGTTATTCCCAAACTGAATTTGGTAAGGTCACTTCAGTTGGGCATATATATCACATAGTCATATTGTATATATCACCAGGAATGGCTAGCACAGAGATACTTATTTAATTCCCATGGGTTAAATGGCTAATT